GAGCAAACATTAATTTTCCTTTTTTTCTTTGGAAAAAACAAAAAAAGCTAACAAAAACCACATAAATAATATTTGAATGAAAATATAATGAAACTAAACTAAAAAAAATAATTTTAAATGCGACTGTTTGGGAAAGAGATATATTTGCTGCTCTGTCCCGTACTATAAGAATCTACTCATTTTTATTATTTTTGTCCATTTCATAAATACCACAAAAAATGTATCGAATTAAACAATTTTACATTCTTGCAGAGGATCTGGGGCCGGACCAAATGTCTTACACCAGCACATCAGGAGAAACGTTTTGTGTGTAATAATGTGTTTTTTTTTTACATTGAATACGCGTTATAATCCTCAACGACGATGGAAAACAAATCGGGAATCGGAAATTGTCCTTTGACATATTTATAAAGTTCTCTAGAAAAAAAATTGATGTACTTTGTAAGGAGAAGAGGAAGAAATTTTAATTTTTTTTTCCTTTGGACCATTCTTAAAAGTTAATCACCCTTATTACGGATGGCGTAGTCGTGTTGAAAATTTGGCACTGTCGCATTTATACGACAAATCAGTATTATGAAAGGCGTTACAATACGCCAAATCTGTCGTGAACGATTTTTTTGACGACAGCATACAAAAATATATAAAAATGTGTTAAAATTGCATTTTAAAAATATTTACTGATTAGCTGTTACATTCAACTTTATTTTATTGCATTACTCAATATTCATAAGAATTACAATTACCACAAAAATTAATTAGAAAACAAACAAAATTACATAGTTTTTCCAATACAATATAAAAAGGGTTCTAAACGAACAATTTTTGATTTGGTTTTGTAACAGAGTAAAAGAAAAATCTATTACAATATTTGGCGTTGTCGAAAATTTTACATAATACCGACCAAAAACGACTACCACAACGCAATCGACTACGCCTACCAGAGCTGCCGTACAACGACTACACCTACCGTAATAAGGGTGAATAATTTTAATTTCTTATGTTATCTAAATTATAACACGTTTATGTTACTACATTAAAATGCCACATTAAAATTCACTGTGCAACAAATTTTGAGGTTATGTTCTGAAGGCAATTAAACCACCTACATCCATCTATGTGCATTTTTTTCGTGGTACATCATGTCGAAAGCAAACAACTAACCTAATAATGATTATACTGCTTTGTTTACATAAATTTTGTATGTCCCTCAAATTGATTGATTTCTGATTTGATGATCCAAAAGTATTGATCATCAAAAAGATCAAACATGTAAAAAATAAAGGTGTTCAGAGTCAAATTTGTGAGAATAAATTATCCATGTTTTCATATTTTATTTTAGGTGTTTCCTAAGCGAGATCAAATTGATCTCCTATCGTATATTTCTTTGTATTACAATATATATATATATATATATATGTAAGTCTTCCACAAGCAAAAAACTAATATTTATAAACCATGAATTTAAAAGGATTTTTTGTCGTTGTTCTAAACTGTTGGACTGTTATTAGATATCTTCCTAACAAAAACACAAAACACTTTTTTATATATCCTAAATTGCATTTATATATACATCCAACAATCACACCTAATAGCAGTTCACATAAAAATCAGCTTTCTCTAGAAGATATAGCCGATTTATTGTGTCTGCCACAAGTGACGGCAACAGTGACTCTCAAACTTTAAACGCATTTTCTCCTTATTTTTTAACATAGTTTGCGGTCAAAAATATGTGATTTTCCAAAAAAAAAAAAATAATAATAAAGTTCCGCTATTTTGATAATTGTTGTTTTTTTATCTGGTATTATTTTTTCTCAAAAAATTAAAATATTTGATTAAAGTTTTTGTCATAATTTATTTTTTTATTAAAAAAAAAAAAATAATAAAATACAATACTTTTTTTAATCTAAATTCCTTATGGTGTTTTTACACGATATGTATTTTACATACATATGTGTTGTCATTTATTTCATTCATATCTAGTTCCTTATGTGTGTCAAAATTAGCAACGTACACAAAACTTTTATTTTTTGTGTTCAAATCGGCATATGTATTTTACATATGACATAACCTATAAACAAAAAAAAAACACTTTTATTTTTTCTTAAATCAACATCATTTTTTTTATTAAACACCTACAAACGAAATAATAATTTGTAATTGTTGCCTTTTCATCCTTTCCTTTGACTTAGAATTGAAATATTTTTTTTTCAACAATGTGTTTCATTCAAACAGCTTATGTTTGTTGTTATGTTTCACATAGGAAAATAGAGCGCGTCCTATTCGGAAAAAAATGTAATTGAATACCGTTTTAACACATTGAAATTTCCGTATATATGCAAAATACTTTTTTGTGATAATCATTTTTGGGTTGGTATAGATTTTGGCCGATATGTAAAATACAATAGGTCTTAAAAAAAAGTGATTCTTGCAGAAATAAGATCTATATATGTCCACAAACATATCCTATCATACAAAATTCATTTTACAAATTTGTATGCTGGTTTTAAAAATATATATTAAAAGAAATTTGTCAAATTTGTATTGAGGCAAAATACTTATTACACTCACTGTGTGTAAAATACATATCGTGTAAAAAAACCATTAATACGAAAAATAAAAATTTTCAAAAACCATTTTAAGAAGATTTTCAGTTATGACAAAAAATTAAACAACAATTTTCTCAAAGAAGAAAAATGCGAAAAATAACATTCTCCAAAAACTTCCTCACATTTCAAAATAATAATTATAATAAAAAATAATATTATCCAATTTCGTTTTTCTCAAATTAAAAAAAAAAACGAAAAATGTTTTTTTTTTTCAAAATGTTAACATTTCAGTTTTGACAAAAAATTAAATCAAATATTCTACAAAGTGATGTTGCACAGTGAATTTTTTGAAAAAAAAAAAATATATATATATATATATAAAACCATATCTTCCTCTTTTTCTCAAACTAAATTCCTTGCATTTTTTATTGTTATCCAATTTCATTCCTTTTCCATATACAAAATGAAGAACAAGAAAAATAACAACAGTTGTTAGGTTATTTGTGAGGTTTTGTTTCCTTTACTTCCTTTTTGTTTTTGAATTCACAAAATTGTTTTTTTGTAATAATAATTTATTTGATAATTATTATATAGATAGAGGATGTATGTATGTAGTTGTTGGTTGGGCTATCTTTTTTTTTTTTTTTTTTTTTGAAAAAAGGCAAAAGAATTTCCATGTTAAAAAGAAAAATTGTATGCAATATTTTTTGTTGGTTTTGTTGTTTTTTTTTTCTTTTATTATATTTTATATTACAAATACATTAACAATATTTCGTAAATATGTTGTTGTTTTTTATGGGGTCGGGGAGGAAAAAGGGAAATTTCTTTTCTTTCTACAGCAGCATCATCATCATCGGAATTTTGTTGGTTTTTTATTTTTTTTTTTTTAAACATCATATTAATGTCAATGTGTTTGTTGTGGGGGCGGGGCGGGGGGTGTTGTTGTAATTTTCGTTTCAAAATCTTTTTTTCTCATCATTTTTTTTTTTTTTTAAATTTATTTTTTTATAAATTTGTTGTGTTTTTTAATTTTATTAATTAATTATAATATTTTTTGTTTATAATGTATGGTTTTTTATTTAATTTATTTCGGGGTTCACACACACTTTTCAAGTGTTTCTTTTTTTGTATTTTTTTTTTTAATTTATTTTTTCTTTCTTTTTTCTTGTGGCTTAAACTTAATTGTTTATTTTTTATGTTTTGTTTTCCTCTTTTTTTGTTTTTGTTTTATTTCAACAACATTTCAAATGTTATTTAATAACAAAAAACCGAGCAAAAAACAAAACCAAGGACAAAATTATGTTTGTATGTATGTAGGTTGTTTAAAATTAATGTAGTGTTGTATAGGTTTTGTTGCTGAGAGGAGGCGACTTATAAACAAAAACAACTAATTTAAAAAAAAAAGAACTTAGTAGGGCCTTAAAAAATCTGACTCACATCAAAATTCATATATTTAAAAAAATAATAGAAGATAAACAAAATTTTGGACTAATTTCTTTTGTCGTTGATTGAAAAAAGGGTTAAATTTAAAACGCAGGTGTTTGGTGGTAGGTTGATGTTGGGAGGGTTGGTTGGCTGGCTGGCACGGCTGCTTGCTCTATCTGTCGTTCGGTTTGGCCCGTTGGTGCGTGCATAAATGAAAAACTCGTTTTTCTTTTTTTCTCTTTTCTTTTTTTATTTTACTTCCAATTTTTTTGTTTCTATGGAAATTTTGAAACTGTTTTCTTCGTTCGTTCAATCATAATCATTCATATTATTTATATATTCATTCAAATTCAAATACAACAACAATGCTTCTTCTTATTTCCTTGAGCTGGCTGGCTGGCTGGCTGGCTAAGGTATGGAGTAATAATTATTATTATGAAAAAAACCTTGCTGCAGAGGCCAAGCTATTTCAATATTTTTCAAATAAATTCTCACGATTATTAATTTTTTTTCGACATTTAGGAATTCATGTTATTGTTCTTGTTGTTGGTTTTCTGTTAAGGATCCTGCCTTGGGAGTTTTTATACCGCTTCTTGTCAAAATGCAAAGTAAAGGGGGGTGGGGATGGAGGATCACATCAATATGGAGCAGTGTGTGTGTGCGTCAGTAAATTTTGGGTTTTGAATTTGTTTTTTTTTTCTTCATTAATTCTATCAATATAGTAATTGTTTTTGATTTCTTTATGATGTTGTTTTTTTTTTTCAACTAAAAAATTTTAATTAATTTTTTTTTTTAATTTTGTTTGCAGTCTATTTGGGGACTTTTCCTGTAGTCGTTGCTATTGTTGTTGTTATAGGTTGTTCTTCTCCTTGTTGTTGTTGTCTCGTCGTTATACACCTTAATAATTAATTCCTTAGGTAACAAAGATGTTGTAGTGGTGGTGTTATTGATTATTGAGCAGCAGCATTGGCGGCAGCAGCAGCGGCGGTGTTGTTGATAACAACCTCCTCCTAATTGGTCTCCTCCTTGTTAAAGCATTTTTTGTAAATAGGCCTGGAATTTAGCACTCAGTTGTTGTTGTTGTTGACGTGATTTTGATTTAGACGCCTCACTACCACCACTACTACTACTCGCTATACGTTGTCTATACCATTTGTCCAGCGATTCCTTGGGTATCACCTCTGAATCGTATAATAAATCAAAGATATTGCAGGTTATATCATCGACAGCCGCATAATCTGAATACTCATACTGCAAACCATCGTGTACGGCATCCAAACACGCCAATTCATATTTCTCCTGAGCATCGATGCACAAACGCAACATCGGTACACAGATTTTGCGGAATTTCTCAGCATTGACTTGTGGTGTTTTCGCACTACTGCTGCTATCTTTCTTTGTACTACTACTGCTACTCGTCGTCGCCGCCAGCACAGTGGCATAATCACAGCAGAGGAAACGTGCAAATTGTCTTAAAAATTCGTCATTAATATTTACATTAGTATTGATATAATCTATGGCTAAATCGCAATTGTCCCGCTGGCCCTTGAGCAGTGTCGCCAATCGCTTGACTTTCTTGTCCACAGTGAGACCGGCGCAACTGGTATAGTCGCTGGGCGGCTTCACGTTCGCATCGTAAATGTACTGCAGTTGATTGGAGCTGATAAAGTCCTGCCATTTCTTTTGGTCGCTGGTGAAGATCTGACCGCGATCCAATTTGAATTCTTTGTGCCACACGTCGCGCACATAATTCGTGCCGAATTCTTTGGTGAAGTACACAATCAACGCCTTGACAAACTTCTGTGTGAAATGGAAATCATCCTTCCAGTCGGAGCGCCACACATCGTTGAACGTCAGCATACCGTCGTACAGCAGCGGGCCCAAAAACTCAAACACATAGGTCCAGCCGTTTGGCACATCGACCAACACATCGGCAAATTCCTCGGCGAACTGATCGTAGGCCCGGCCAAAGGTCTTCTTGTCGAATGACTTGGTTTTCAGCAGGTAGGAGAAAATGGCAGCCGCCGCAGCCCGATGGTCGCGGGAGACATCACGCAAATGCAGGTAGTCCATCAGCAGGCAGTGCAGCAATTCCATGTGTTGTTTCAGCGTGTGGGAACGCCATTTGTCCAGGACAACGGCCTGCCAAGCAAAGCTGTTGCTATGATCACATTCTAGGTACTCTTCGACCAGTAGATTGATCGTCTTGCGCACCTCGGTGGCCGAGTAGCTGACAACGGATTTCTCATCCTCGTCGTCGGAGCCTTCGTTGCTGCTACTGCTTGCGGAGGTATGCGAGGCCGATGGCCGTTCTACATCGCTGTTTTGATGACGATCGTTGTCGGATTCGCGCGTGGACAACACCTGGAAGGGATTGGTTGGCCGCTTCATTGTGTTGTTGGCCGAGTTGGATTGGCTGCTGGAGCCACTGTAATGCTGGGAGCCGGACGATGACATACCACTGCCTCCGAATGGTGGAGCTGTGGCATTCTGCAGGAGGCCACCTTGCTGGCTGCGGCCGGTGGTGCGCCACATAAACAGCGAACTGTTGCCCAGCTTGGTTGACGATTCCGATTCGAGGCCGCGTGAGAAGTTCAGTTTCTTAAAGTCCAGACTTTGATCTTGCTGGTATTGCCCCTTTTGTGAGTTCTTGTTGTAGTAGTTGTCACGGTTGTCCATGCGACGGCCTTGATTGTTGTTGCCGTAATCACCACGGCCACCACCACCCATACGCTGAGAGCTGCCACCACGGTCGTAATTGTTGCGGCTGTTTTTATCGTCACGATTGCCACGACGATTCTGATGTTGTGAGCCACTGTTGCCGGACATGCTGCTGCTGCCGCCACTACTCACACTGGCCGGTCCACTTTGTGCGGTGCTTGGCGATGAGGTCTGATCCCAACGACGTGCCCTCAAATCGACCACATCCTGCATCATGAAACGCACACGACTGCTAATCTTATTGTGATTATCCTTCTGCGATCGGCTCTGTTTGATGATGTCGTTGATTCGATTGAATACCCGATCCATGCGAGTAATATTCTTCTCCGCCGAATATTTGGCCTCCAACAGATGACCGACAGTGGTCATTAGCTTGCACATATATTCGAGTTTTTCTTCGCTGCCGTGTTCCAGCAATGACTCGATACACATCATGACACGATCGCCGGTCAACGATTGCAATTTGAACATTTCACCGATAAAACGTACGGTACCCCAGGCACGACGTCTAAATTGATATTCTTGGTCTTCGAGCTCGGCCTGGAGTTCTTGGCGTTCCTTGGGATCGGTACAGGCTTCAAGTTTTTCGATCAATGGTTTTAGTTTTTCATTCTTGGCATCGGCATTGTTCACGTTCGTTTCGAATTCCGTTTGAATACGTTTGATCAGGAGCGTATTGAAAAGTTGTTTACTTTCCGGTTTGACTTCTTGGAAGAGAACTTTGCAGAATTTGGCATAGGTTGGTGCAAAGTTGGGTTCACTAATGGTTTTCTCAAAGATCAACAACATCACCTGTGAGGAAGGCGGTGAATTGCGAGCGAGTGCGGAGATGAAAGAGAAAAGAGAGAGAGAAAGAGATTTGGTTGGCAAAAAGGAAACACTCACTAAAAAATATACAATTTCAATGGAAAAAGAGAAAAGTAAAACAACACAAATAATTGGCTTTGGCGGTGAACACATACAGAAAACAATTTTTATATAGAAAGTAGTTTTCAATAAAACTGGTAAATTTTTAATCCTGAAAATTAATGAAATAGGAAATTGGGAGATATGACAGAGGCAGACAAACAAATCAAAGCAAACAAAATTCGATTATGTTTAAAGGTGGGGTCTTATAATATAATAATACAAATTAAATAAAAACAAATATAGTTTTTAAATAATAATAATAATATTATATATATATATACAAAATTTATTAAAAAAAATAGAAAATAATTTTTTAAAAATTCAGCAAAAATACAAAATTTTAATATTCAACAAACATACAAAATTTTAATATTCAACAAAAATATTAAATAAATAAAATATTAAATAAATAAAATATTAAATAAATAAAATATAAAATAAAGTATTCAAAAGCGTCAATCTCTATTTATATACATCAATCTCCACTCAATTTGATTATGCTATTTTTTTCCGATATCTATTATAGATACGGATTAATTGTGTTCGGTAACTCCCCATGAAATTTAATGGAGAATACATTCTCCATTGACACCAAAACTCTACAACAAAGTTTTGTGGGAAATTTCTCTTCATTTCAAAATACTTATGTCATTTTTAACCTAAAAAATATGTTTCACTATTTCTTCTATATTAAAAACCCCGATTTTTTACAGTTATATAATAAATATACAGATTTCTTATGTTCGGTGACCCCTAGTGAAATGCGATGAAGAATCTATTCTCCATTGACACAAAGGCTCTACAATGAAGATTTATGGGAAATTTATCTTCATTTTAAAATACTTATGGTATATTTAACCTAAAATATATATTTTATACTATATATTCCCAATTAAAAACCCCGATTTTTAAGTTTATATAATAAATATACAGATTTCTTATGTTCGGTGACCCCTAGTGAAATGCCATGAAGAATCTATTCTCCATTGAAACCAAAGCTCTACAATGAAGTTTAATGGGAAATTCCACTCCATTTCAAAAGGCTTACGGCATTTCAACTTAAAAATATTGCCTTATAACCTAAAAATATATATTCCGAATAAAACCCGAATTATTATTGGTTATATAATAGATATACAGATTGGTTATATAATAGATATATTTCAACTTAAAAATATTGACTTATTTTTTTAATTAATTTTTTTAATTTAATATTACAAATATTTATTTTTGCTGAATTTATTAAAAATTATATTCTAATTTATCTATTTAAAAATAAATTTGTAAATATTAAAAAATTATATTAAAAATATTACTTAAATTAAAAAACAAACACATTTTTTCCACTACGAAAAAAAAATCAAAAGTCTCAAAAAGTTTTAAAGAAATTCCCACATTTCCAAGGCATAGCCTCCTATTACCTAACATTTTTTTAATAATTTCATTGAATTATTAAAAATTATATTCTAATTTATCTATTTAAAAATAAATTTGTAAATATAAAAAATTATATTAAAAATATTCGTTTACACATTTTAGTTAGTGAAAAAAAAATCAAAAGTTTTTCAAATAAATCCTACAGTCCAAGGCATAGCCTCCTCTACCTAACATGTCAATAATTTCATTGAATTCCTCATTGGGACTAAGGTCGGCGGTCTATAGATTTTATTAATCGTTTAATAGTTAGTGGATGAGGGTTTTTGATGGATGTTAAGGATTAAAAAGTAAAAAAAAAGAAGAGAAAGAGGAGCAAACAAAGTTAAAAAAACTATACGCACTATTATTATGTGTATAATACAATAAAAATATAAAAAAATTAAAAAAATGTGTGTTTAAGAAAAAACATAAAAAAGAATAAAGAAATAGAGAGAGAGAAAAATTATTATTAAATTTCAATGCACACCAAAGCCAACATTAAAAAAAATATTTGGTTGTTTTACCTTTTTTTTTCAAAAAAAAATAAAATAAAAATCTAAAAGAAAACCAAAAAAATTAAATATTTTTCATCATAGTTACTTGTTGCATTTTTTCCGTTGTATCCAATGAAATGGAGACCATTGTCTTCAGCAGTACTTCAAAGTTTTCGGGTGTCAATTTATTCAGTACACCACGTACTTTCTTGAGCACAGCTTCAATGTTATCATTAAGATTATTGGATGAATCCGAATTGCTGCCGGCACCACCACCAGTCTTCTTACGCAGCGTTTCCGGTTTCCAGGCATTTTCACTTTCATTCAATTTGATTTCTTCGTTCAACGAGAGGTTGACACGAATCATACGTGGCCGGGCAAATGAGGTACCCGTTACACTGACACTGCCACCGGTTGTACCAACCATACTGCCACCGGGACCGGGTGGACCACCGGCACCGGCAATATTGCCACACGATCCGGTCATATTGTGATCATGTTTACGCTGAGGGCGACCACCACGTTTGCCCGACACCAAATCCATAGATTCGTTAAAGTTCATATGTTGATATTGTTGTTGCATATGAGGCAGATTTTGATTATTGGGTCGGGAGACAAACAGAGCGGCTATACATCCACCCTTTTGACAAGGCACCACTGGCAGTTTCTGGGATTCTTCGGATTTGGCCAATTGTTTCAGTTCATCCAAAGAATAACGATATAGACTTTTGCCAGTTTTTGGGTGTTTCTGTATGGATGGTGCCACATGTAAAATTTTCGCGGCCGATTTTGAGGTCGTGGTTGAGGCTGCGGCAGCAACAGCTGGTCGAGCATGGGATTGAGTGTTGGTGCTGTCAACCATATCTGGAGTTTTGCTGTCAGCAGCAGCAGCAGCAGGAGTGGCAGCGGCGGCTGCACCACTGCTGGTATTAGCTGCTGTTGTTTCAGTCTTAGAGCTAGCCGTGGGTTTGGTGGCGACGGTGGCTTCTTTAACCTTCTCATCATCTTTAAAGTCACCGAAACGTACATCTTTAATGGCAGTAGCTTCATTATCGGTTATCGATTTAGTGCTGGTCTCAGTGAGCTTCTTCACCACCTCTTCTTCACAAGCCGATGAGGAACTATTTAGGAATTGAATTTGTTCGGTTTCTCCCTTGGTGTCAGCGGCAGGAGCAGCAGCAGACGATTTAGCTGCCACTGAGGGTTGTATAAATTGTTCAACAATTTCTTGGGATTTGACATGTTTGCCGGTGGTCGTGGGGACGGCGGCAGCTGCAGTGGGTTTGTCATTATCTGGAAAACAAATAAAAATCACATTAAATAATTTGTAATTGTTGTAGAAAAGTATTCAAAAGCGTCAATCTCTATTTATATACATCAATATCCATTAAACCCAATTTGATTATGCTATTTTTCCGATATATATTATAGATACGGATTTATTGTGTTCGGCAACTCCCTATGAAACTTAATGGAGAGTACATTCTCCATTGACACCAAAACTCTACAACAAAGTTTTATGGGAAATTTCTCTTCATTTTAAAATACTTATGGCATTTTTAACATAAAAAAATATATTTTACTTCATATTCCCAACTAAAAGTCCGATTTTTTATGGTTATATATTAGATATACAGATTTCTTATATTTGGCGGCCCCTAGTGAAATGCGATAAAGAAGCTATTCTCCATTAACAGTAAAACTTTACAAAAAAAGTTTTAGGGGAAATTCCACACCATTTCAAAAGGTTTATGGCATTTCAACTTAAAAATATGGCCTCTTTTAACCTAAAAATATATATTCCCAACAAAAACCCCGATTTTGTATGGTTATATAATAGATATACAAATTTCGTATGTTTGGTGACCCCTAGTGAAATGTAATGACGAATCTATTCTCCATTGACACCAAAGCTCTACAATGAAGTTTTATGGGAAATTCCAAACCATTTCAAAAGATGTATTGCATTTTCAAATAAAATTAATTATTTCAAGTTTTCCTAATTAAAACCGATCTTTTATAGTTATATATATTATATATAGAGATTTCTTATGTTCAGTGACCCCAAGTGAAATTTTATAAAGAACTTGTTCACCCTTGACACCAACCCCCTATAATGACGTTTTGTGGGAAATATCACATCATTTCAAAAGTCACTTGACACTTTCGTGCAAAACATTAGTCTTTTCATATATCCAATATTGGAACCGATTTTTAACGGTTAGGTATTATAGCTATCGAGTTACTTTGTTCAGTGACCTATTGTGGAATTTTATGAAGAACATGTTCTCCCTTGACACCAATCCCCCACTAAGACGTTTTGTGAGAAATATCGCATTATTTCAAAAGTCATTTGATACTACTTTGACTAATGTTACTATTTTCATATATCCAATATTGGAACTGATTTTTAACGGTTATATATTATAGCTACCGAATTACTTTGTTCGTTGACTTATAATGAAATTTTATGAAGAATATTTTTTCACTTGACACTAATCCCCCACAAAGACGTTTTGAGGGAAATATATCATATTTTGAAAAGTCATTTGACACTTCCGACCAAAACATTACTATTTTCATATATTCACTATTGGAACCGATTTTTATTGGTCATGTATGATAGCTATCGAGTTACTTTGTCCGTTGACTTATAGTGAAATTTTATGAAGAACATGATCTCCCTTGACACCAAACCGCTATAATGACGTTTTGTGGGAAATATCGCATCATTTCAAAATTCGTAATTTTTTCACCGATTTTTAACGGTTATTTATTATAGCTATCGAATTACTTTATTCGGTGACTTATAACGACATTTTATGAAGAATATTTTTTCCCTTTACACTATACACCTACAAAAATTTGTTGGCTGAGAAATTGCTTTAAATCCAAAATCCCGAAAGAGAATCTGTTGAATGAAACTTCAGAATTGAGATTGATGTATTATTATTTAGGTCTGGTTTGGGTACCTACCTTTAGTTTCTACACCTGTTGTCTTGGAATTATCAACATTGTTGTTATTATTAGTAGTACTGGCAGCAGCTGTGGTGGTGCTAGTAGTTTGAGGTTCCTTAGTTGCTACTGCTGCTGCTGTTGATGATGATTGCTGCCTTTGGGGCGCCTGTTTGCTGTTGTTGTTATTGGTTGATGGAACTGAGGAGCTATTTGCATTGTGAATATCAGTCAATTGAACATTTGTTGTGGGTGTTGATGGTACCGAGGATGCATTATTATTGTTGTTATTGCCTCTATTATTGTTGTTATGCGATTTATTATTATTGCTGCTGCTGGCATTCGAGGCGGTTGAATTGCTGCGCTCATGTTGGGGCCTTTGTTGTTGCGACTTCTTTTGATTTTGATCTTTGGTACGTTGTTGATGTTGTTGTTGTTGCTGCTGTTGTTGTTGTTGCTGCTTGTTAACCTTACGATTTTTGCGATTGCTCACAGTAATAAAGGAATCATCATTGTTGGCTGCATCAAGAGCATTGGTGGCGGCCGTAGCTGCAACAGCAGCGGGGGCGGTGACGGCGGCGCTAGGATTGTTGTTACTTGCCTTCGAAGTAGCTTCACCCTTCTTTACGTTACTAATAGATGGTGTAGTGGTTGTATTGGCTCCCATTTTAGTATTGGTTGTTGTTGTGGTTTTTCCTTGTTGTTGTTGGTCCTTGCTAGTTGCTGCTGTTGTAGTAGTGGTTTTTTGTGTAGAAATGTCTGTAAGAATAAACAAGGGTAGGATTAGTTAAACTCTTGCGAAAATTTGTTAGGGAATTTTTGAAAATTAAAATTCAAATTTTTTTAAGAAAAATAATGGCGGTGGTACTGGGGTTAAAAAATAAAATTCAACACGACAAAAATTAAAAAATGAAAAAAAAAAAATTAATAATAAAATTACGCGCAGGAGGGAGTCTCTTCGTATTCGAATTGTTTGTATATATATATATTTATATAGATATATATGGAAATACAATGTACTAACACACAACACACTCACTATATGACTACTACTACCACGACGACAATACTACTACTACTGGGCGGCTGCCGATCACTCAGCAGCCACTAACCAAATGAAAATTTCTAAAGAATTTATTGAGCATTTATGAGGGTAAAACAAAAATTTTCAGTTTCAAAAACAACAACAACAAAAGCCAAACGAAGAAGAAGACGAGCCGCAGCACCAGCAGCAGCAGAAAAAGAATGCCTCGTTTTGAGGCATTAACAACGAATGGATGGATGGCTATATTTTTATTAGAAAAATAAAATGCGGAGGAACATTGTCGTCGTCGAGAGTGTGGGTCTATGCAGACGACAAGACGACCAAGTGACTGACTGGCTGGTTGGCAGGTGGAGAAGGAGGTGGTGTACAAAACAGAAGACATGTGAATTTGAATATAAAATGTGATGCAACAAGAGAGAGAGAGATCTGTGGTTCACAGTCTGTCTTCTGATGAAGAAACTGTTGTGGGTGGGTGGTAATAATTTTTGTCGCCCTCATCATTACCGTCGTTGTAGTCGTCGTAATGTTGACGACATCAGACGACAACAATGTGCGTGTACCGCTGCTGCTACTGCTTTTGGAAAATTCTCTTGTTGTTGTCCAGCACCTCTCAGATGATGGCTCTCGCCAGAAGCATGCTGCTTGGTGTGGCGATCACCAGAAAAAAATATGGTGGTGGGTGATGGTCGGTCTGGTCTTCATTTTCATAAAAAAGAAAGGCAGGACACATGGTTTTCTATTTTCTTTGGAATTAATTTCATTTTAAACAAAATATTGGAATTTAAAAAAAAAATGGTTTGTGAAAAACTATTGGGAATTAATGCTTCTCAAGTTGATAAAAATCTGAATTGTTTGGTTTCCTTGCTAAAGGCAATTTGTTTATTTTTCGGTTTGGTTTGATATAGTTTTGGAAAAGAAAAGTATTGGCATGAGTTGGAGAAGGAGGAGGAGTTAGTTTGGCGTTGCAAAAAAAACAAAACATGGCAAACAGACGAACAACACAACAACTTGGTAACGAAAAGACTCCCCCGTACAAAATTGGGACGCATTTTTTTAGATTTCAAATTAAGTACGCAACGATTTTTTAAGCCCCAAAATTAACCACTCAATATTTTTAATTTAAATTAAACTCTACAAAACAACAACTACTACGACTACAACTACAACACTTGAAAAAATCTGTAACCACTGAGATTAGGGTGTTCTTTTCTTTTTTGGTGGTTTTTGCAAAAAGAAAGAAGAAGTGGTTTGTTGGCATAATTACTTAGTTCTTTGTTTGTTGCTGTTGTTGTTACAATTTCCTCGCTGGTGGCGACATCCTTCTTCTTATTTGGAATTGCTGTTGTTGTTGGATCTTCAGTTGATCGATTTGTAGCATCTTTTGTCGTCGTAGATTGTTGTGTTGTTGTGGTGGAACTTGGCGGCATCTTGCCTTGTGATTGGTGGTGTTGTTGTTGTTTGTTATTGGAGTTTTTGTTAGTTTCTATTGGGGATGACTGTTTCATTTGATATTCAACAACAACAACATTGCCTTTTACAGGTTGCTGCTGCTGCTGCTGTTTGTTGTTGTTGCTCTTTACACCGGCGTCATCTTCCATTTGCGCCACTGGTGTTACTAAAAGAAATTTGAATCGTGTTAGACGATTAATTCAATTTTTTTGGGTAAAGGGAACGAGGCGGCGTCGTTTTGGAAGAGAGGAGGCTAGGTTGTAGTGGTAATGGTGGTGTTGGTAGTGGTAGAAGATATATATTTAGAAAGTAAAATTGGTGGTAACAGTGTTGGAGGAGGGAGAGTGGATTGAGTGGTGGGTGTTTAAAGGGAAAAGATACATATTTTTTCTTTTGGGTCATTATAAACATACATATACATAACTACATGTTTTAAATATATATACAATATTTGACTACTTTTAATGATTATTATTATTTGTTTTTAATTTAGATTTCATTAAAAAATATTTTAGCATTTATTTGTTTATAAACAAATTAAAAAAATCAATTTTGTTTATGCAAAACATTTTTGGAAAAAAAATCATATCTCTTTCAAAATGGTGTCCAAATTTCAATAGTAATATCGCTAGGTGTAATATAAAAAAAAGAAAGATATTGCTATATTTTCATACGATTTCCGAAATGGTGACCAAATTTCATTTTAGGTGCTTGGGGTCAATGGCAAAAATATTCTACACTAAATTGTATTATGAGTCTCCAAACGACGAAATCGCGAGGTCTAATATAAAACAATAAAAAATCGATTCCAAATTTGGGTTAAATAAGGAGGAGAAAAAAATTAAAAAAAAATAATATCACTTTCAAAATGGTGAGCAAATTTCAATAATTTCTCATTTTCGGGGCTTGAGACCAATGGAAAAAATATTCTACACTAAATTTCACTACAAGTCTCCAAACAAAAGAAATCGCTAGGTGGAGTACAAAACAAGAAAATATTGATTCGAAATGAATAAAAATAAAATATTGATTTGAAATGAAAAAATAATTTTTGGGTACATTTTCATAAGATATTAAAAATGGTGTCCAAATTCCAATAATTTTTAATTTTAGGGGCTTGAGACCAATGAAAAAATGTCCTACACTACATTTTACTATGAGTCTCCAAACAAAGGAAATGTAATATAAAACAAGAAAATTATTGATTCGAAAAGGAAACAATTATTTTTGAGTACATTTTCATAAGATTTCGGAAATGGTGGCCAAATTTCAATAATAATACATTTTAGGGGCTTGAGACCAATGGAAAAAATATTCTACACAAAATTTTACTATGAGTCTCCAAACAAACGAAATCGCTAGGTGGAATATAAAACAAGAAAATATTGATTTGAATTGAAAAAAATAGTTTTTAACTAAATTTTTTTACGATTTTCAAAATGGTGGCCAAATTCCAATAATTTTTCATTTTAGGGTCTTGAGAAAAATGGAAAAAATATTCTACACTAAATTTCACTAGAAGTCTCCAAGCAAAAAAAATCACTAGGGGTAATATAAAACAAGAAAAGTACCGATTTGAAATGAAAAAATATTTTGTAACTACATTTTTATACGATTTTCAAAATGGTGACCAAATTTCAATAATTTTTCATTTTAGGTGCTTAGGGTCAATGGAAAAAATCTTCTACATAAAATTTCACTAGGGGTCTCTGAACAATTCAATTCGCTAAAAATAATATATAACAATAAAACATGGGCTAATAAATTTTAAATTATATAATACAAAAAAAATATTTTTTTGGCATAATATTTTTATACACGTTTTTCAATTTCTTCAAAATCTCCAGCAAGACCTCATGTAAGGAGCTTGAGGTCAATGGAAAAAATATTCTACATCAAATATTACTAGGGGTCACCAAGCAAACGATATCGTTAAATGCAATATATAACAAAAAAAATATCGATTTCAAATTTCCATATTTAATAAAGCAAAAATACTATTTTAAAAAAAATATTATATGCCTTTCAAAATAGTATTCAAATCTCAATACAACTTCATTTTACGAACTTAGTGTCAATGGAAAAAATGTTCTACCAAAAATTCAACTAAGGTTCTCTGAACAAATGAAATCGCTAAATACATTTTGAAAAGCATAAAATATGGGGTGGTAACAAAAATTAAAATGTACAAAATTAATGTTTTGTCTTTTTTAATAATTTTCGTACACATTTTTTTCGTTTTTTTTTATAAAACAAAACCGGTCAAATATTGTATACATATATCGAAAATTTAAAAAAAAAAAACTATATTTTTTACAATATACATTTTTTTGTAAATAATTACAAAATATATAGCTTATTTATGTATGTTTTTATATTGAAAAATAAAATATATAAGGGGCACAGAAATACAAATTTTGTATTGAATTTTACAAATTTTAGGGATCTGGGTGTTTTAGGGGATTTCGAGGTAATCTATTTCGAAAAAAAAAAAACAATATTGATAGTAGGTAGGTGGTGGTAGAGGTAGTAGTAGTAGTTGTTGTTGTGATTGTAGGTGTAGTTGTAAAAAAATAGAATATTTCTTTTTTTGTGTAGTAGAAGAATTGTAATTACCATCGGTATTGGTAGTTGTTTCTGTTTCTGTGGAATCCTTTGCTGTAATTGCTGCTGCTGTCGTTTCTGGTTGTTTCGTCTTTTGCTCCACTTGTTGTTTGGTTGGTTCAGGAACAGTTGCGGGAACAACACCAGCACCATCATCATCATCATGTTCCAATTCTGGTGTTTCAGCATCGGTATCATCATTCTCTTCGCCAGTTACTGATGGTTGTACGGCCGTCGCCGCCGCCACTGGATCTACCACCACGGATGATTCAACAGCAGCAGCAGATTTTGCTGCCGGCTCAGTTTGCATTTGCTGATCGATTTTATCTTTACCAGCAGCATCAGATGCAGGTGTAGTGCCGCCATCACCGGAAGTTTCCACCACCACTTTGTTATCATGTGGTGTTGTTGTTGCTGCTGTTGTCGTTGTTGCCGCGGACGCTGCCGCCGCCGCCGTTGCGGTTGTCGTTTTATCGTTAGAACCTTTTGTTGTTTCGGGTGGTGGCGCAGTCATTGTTATTGTTGTCGTTTTCGCCGGCCTATTCTCAGCCTCTGGCGGAGGTTTGATTTCAAGGGCCGCCGACGAACTACTCTTATTTTGTTGTTCGAATCGTATCTCTTCCATTGTGGCGGGATCGATGATAGGCACGGCTTTACTGCGCTTTTTCGTCAGATCGGCCACAGGTGCTGCGGCGGCCAGACCAATTGATCCACTACCCGCCGCCAGATTAAGTGGTGTGGAAGATGTACCGGGTGCACCCGTAGAACCTGCCAAATGGCTATAGGCATTGGCCAGTGGCGGACCACTGATGCCAGTGGCAGTCATTAGGGAGGGCGCCTGCGTTGCCAAGCCCGTTGTAGCACCCAATTGTAGCGGAGGTGCACAGTACTGTGATTGGACATAGGGACCCGCTGACACTCCCCGTGTTCCCGTATTTTGTAGTGGCGCTCCCACATGCACCGTCGAGTTGCCGCTACCTGTCGCCGAGTGTTGATGGGCATTACTGATGCGGGTTCCCGGTGGCATTTGCATGTAGTAGAAGCGATGATGCGGCAACACAGTCATATTTCGTATTTGCTGGGCATTGTGCAGGCTCGTCGGAGCTTGAGCGGCCACCGTTTGATTAGCAAAGTAGTGCCCGTGAAGCGTGGCCTGTTGGTGGGCTGCATTTGTTTGCGCTTGCGTTGCCGTCTGGTATAGGGGACCCGTGTGACCGGCTGTGGGTGTACAATGCTGACCCGCCGCCGCTGCAGCTGTTAGTGCACCATTGTACATCATTACTGTGTTGTGCTGTGGTATTGGCACCTGAAAAGATTGCGTCATGAAAGGATTGCCAGCGGGCGGCTGCAGATTCGTTTGTATGATGGTACCCGCCGGCTGGTAGTGTGTACCCTGGCCCTGGCGGCCGCCAACACCAGCCCCAATATTTGTGTTGGCATTGCCTGACGCATTGTTGGCCGCAACAGCTCCCGCACCATTGCCGCCTGCCCCGCCACCACCCTGTGCCCCGTTGCCGCCACCACTGCCGGCTGTGTGTGTTGGAGGTGAGGGCGCCAACTGAGCTCCACCAACATTACTGTTTGTACTCTGACCAGGATGGTGTGGACCTGTCGAGCTTAGCGCCTGTGGGTGTATCGGATAGTGATATAAGAAGGGCACTTGAGGATGCGTCGTATATGCTTGCTGGTGGGGCGGGGGCGCCGCCGTCTGTAGTTGATGTGGATGGGAGTGGGATGTACCGCCGGTCGCCTGCCCAGACGTCTGCTGATTGCTGTGGTGTATTGAGGCCGTTTGTAATTGGACCTGTTGTGGCTGGTGTGACTGATGGTGTGTTTGATGATGTGGCTGATGATGCTGCTGCTGTTGTCCCTGCTGCTGCTGTTGTTGTTGTTGTTGCTGGCTGTGTTGATTTGGGCGTATTCCCTTCCCACCCCCTCCCGGATTGCCGAACATAGGAGGATCTTTCAAAGACCTGGTGTGGGGGGAGAGGGTTGCATGGCATTTTTCCGATATTTGTCGTCGTTAGTATTATTTTATTTGTTGTACACGTTTTTTGGTTTTGTTTTAAATTTTTCAAATCATTTTCAAATATTCACATTTGTATTTGATATTTGGATTTTTTGTTTTATTTGCGGCAAGAAAAGAGAAAAGATTTTAATTATATCATTAATGGGTTAGTAGTACTGAATGTGAGCATAAAAGAAATATGTAGAGAAAGGGGGAGATCATATGGGGAGGATATGTGATAAAGTGTGCGAAAATGTAATGTGATAACTTCAATTAGTAATAATATAAAGAAAATGATATTTAAATACACATAGATACATGTGTGCATATTGGTTTATTTGACTGACAACAAAACAGGATTTAGTTTTGTATCATTATTATAAATAGAGACGACATGCATAAAATATAAGAACAATAATAATAATAATAATAAAAATGATGGTGATGATAAAGATGATGATGTTATTGACGGCCACACCAACAACATTTCCATAAAAAGGAATAACAGTGGTGGTGATGATGATGATAGTAATAATAATGATGATGCTGCTGCTGCCGTAAATTGTACAGCAAAAATCCCACAAATTAGCCCACACACCAAAAGAAAAAAACAACAACAATCAAAACAAAAGAAGCAGCAGAAATATTAGGAGAGGAATTCCAAAGGAGGAAATGGTGGGATGTAGTTGGTTGGGAGCACGTTTTTATTCGTCGTTTTCAAAATTGTTGGTGTAAAATGCTGTTGATGATGGGTGGTTGGGTTGTTGATAGAATGGACAAAGGAGGGGAGGGAAGGGGATAGTGTACATTGCGGATTTGAATTAGGAGCTGGTGTTAGGATTGATCTTTATAACGAGTTAATTGGTCGATTTCAAATCTTGTTGTCATAAAATTTGGTGTTAAATATTTTTGTTTGTCACTATGTGTCAATATATTGGCGGCACGTCACATTTGGATGATGTGTCAGCCTCTCTCTCTCTCACTGTCCTCTTCAATATATATCAATAATTTAATCAGTTTTAATTCAATCAAGACTTTATCCTATATTATTTTGTTAAAAATAATAACATAACGAGTTAATTGATTTTTTTTAATTGATTAACGGATATACCTCTCCCAAATTTGTTTTTTCACCAATATTTTGCACTAAATGTCTTTGTTTGTCATATTCTGCCAGTCTTTTGGCGGCATAAAGTGCATGCCAGTGTCTGTCATCAGCAAAAGAAACATGTCATTTTTGCTCATGCACGTACGCCCTTTTATCATTCTCCTCATTTGTTAGAGACCATAGTGTGCATTGCGGATTTGAATTAGGAGCAGGTGTTAGGATTGATCTTTATAACGAGTTAATTGATCGATTTCAAATCTTGTTGTCATAAAATTCGGTGTTAAATATTTTTATTCGTCACTATGTGTTAATGTTTTGGCGGCACGTCACAGCTGTATGATGTGTCTGCCTCTCTCTCTTCCTCTCATTGTCCGCGGCAATACATATCAATAATTTTATAACGAATAATTTAAATCACTTTTAATTCAATCAAGACTTTATCCTATATTATTTTGTTAAAAAATAATAACATAACGAGTTAATTGATATTTTTAATTGTTTAACGGATATACCTATCCTAAATGTGTATTTTATACCAATATTTTGCATTAAATGTCTTTGTTTGTCATATTCTGTCAGTCTTTTGGCGGCATAAAGTGCATGTCAGTGTCTGTCATCAGCAAAACAAACATGTCATTTTTGTTCATGAGATTAATGGCACGCACGCTTTTTGATCATTCTCATCATTTATTAGAGACCATTTTTTAAAGGAGGGAGGAAGGAAATTATTAAATAATAATTAAAGCTCCTTATCAAATTTGTTGATGATATTAATGACGCACACCCTCTTTGTCGTTCGTATAATTTAGGGACAACTTATAACAGCAGTTATTAGAGGAAGAAGACAAGAGTAAAAGGTTTTTTTAATAATACATTATTTAATATAAAAAATTAACAAAATAAATCAAAGAAAAGAACACTAAAGTAAAAAAATCAACTTTTTTCCGTTTATTTACATCACATTGTGAGAACACAGCTGACAACATATCACAGAGATGGAAAGCTTGAATTTTTAAATAATGAAACGTCACAGCAGAGTTGGAAAGTTAGAATTTTTAAGGGATTCATGTATTATTGGTAAATGTGAACGCATTGGAGTAAAATTGAAAATAAAAATAGTCATTACATTAAATTAATATAAAAGCTCATAATGTATACAAAAATACATTATACCAAAGATGGTGAAAATAATAAAAATAAATTTTACATCTTTTTTTTTTTTTTTGATATTTACTTTAAGAAAAACTTCTTCAAAATGCATCAAAAATATAAAAAAATACCGTTAATTTCCCGATGTGGAAAATCATACCTTTGAGAGAAATGAGTGTTATAATACGTTTACATTTAACCGGATTTCGTTAACCCAGTGGGTTTCAATTGTCAATTCCTTTGCATATATGTCAAATAGATCCTCATAAAGTAGGTTAACCCGGTAAAAAGTTCTAATGTATATGCCGTTTTAGGGAACTCAAAAAGTTTTCAGACAAATAGAATTATTAATTCAGAATTATAAATTCTGAATAAAAAAATAGAGTATTGGTAATTACTACCACACATCTACTGAGTGCGGGTGTGTGTGTACCAACATCAAATGTCATTGACATGACACGTTTATATGCATATCTATTATACTGGAAAAATTCGCTACTTATCAAATAAAGATAGCAGGCAGGCGGGCTGCAAATACATACCACTCAGAATAGATAAGAGTTGAAAATAAAGAAATGTGTAAAAAGTAAAATAAGAAAACAACAATAAAAAAATAAAGAAAAAAGAAACAAAAGTAATCAGCAGATTACAATATCAGCTGTTCGAAATAAAAAAAATTATTTCCCTTATGGCAAGAGTCCGTGTCAGGTCGAAATTTATTTCTAAATGTTGATAATATTTTGGAACTTTAGTGTAACATTTAAAAAAAATATATGTGAGCTTATTAAATGTATTAAACAAAATTAATGGTATAATATAATTTCATCAATTTCTCCAACATAAATTGATTTCCATCACAGAGTTTATTTCTTATTGATATCTATGTGAGTTTTTGAAACGACAATTTTGGGAATTATTTTAAAATTAAAAACTAAATAAATATGATTTACTACATTGAATTCACTCTCAATTTAATAGTGCATTGTAGCTCATTTCTCTCAAAAAAAAAGAGATATTGTTGTCAACTTTTCTACTTGCGGTGTTCTTTGATTTGCTTTTCGTTTGTCATTCATTTCCTAAGGCTGACGTCAGAGTGCGCGCGAGAAGCGATGCTATGATATGCCGCTAGACGACGCTATAAACCTCTGCGTGTGTTTTCTTATGGCATAGCGCAAAAGCTGTCAGAGTGGATGCTACGCTACAAGCGAGACAAAGCGAGTGCAAGCGATAAAGCGTGTTGTGCAATGGTTTATAGCAAGAGCTCGCTTTGGCTCTGTTTGAGTTTCTTTGTTTATTATTTTTATTTACCGTTATTGATCGGTTTTTGGCATCGTTCTTTTGCATCATATCGAATTTTAATGGCGTGGACCAATCTGTCGGGATTTTTGTGGACTCAAGTCCAAATTTAATTAAATAATAATAAAATAATTTGGAAAAAATAAGGGAAACCGATGCAGAAATATTTGTTCATTTCATGAATTTTCTTTAAAAAATTACTTTGAAAATATTTTGTGATATGAAAAATTCTTCGTCGGAATCCTTCTTGAGTCAATAAACACCAGTTTACAACAGAAATAGGCGATATAAACCAACAACACGCTTTGCTCTCTATAGCACTCACTCTGACATACTATAGCATTGAAGTAGCATGAACTATTATAGCATGTAGTATCGCATCGCTTCTCGCTTGCACTCTGACGTCAGCCTAATAAATTTCATTTCAAAGTTCACATGAGGTGTATGACATAAATATCACACACACACGAAATATTTGCTGTTGCTTGTGTTTTTGCAGAAGAAGCAGCCGCAGCAGCAATCACCACTTGGTTGGCTTGATTGTGTTTTACCAGAGCAACAACAACAAGCGGAAGAAACAGAGAGTGAAAATCAACCGCACAAAAAACAACAATGCCGCACATACCAGTGTTATTGACTCATTCATATAAGAAAATTCCAATTGTACTCTGCAATAACAACAAATGAAAGGAAAGGAAAAAAATCGACGCCAACAACAATGTTTTTTTCTTTAATTTTTTTTTTCGAAACAACAACCACAAGGAGATCCAATTTAAACGTAATTGCCAACGAACATTTCTTTCAGTTTATTTTTTTAGGTTATGTTATTATGTTGCTGTGTGTTTGACGAAGTGTCTTTTTTCTCTTTGAAGAATTTCTTTTTGTGTTTGCTCTTTGACTCTCAACCGCCATGTGATGAAGAGCAGCCCACAGAATGACAATTGAGTGTGAGATTGTGAGGTGTCAAGAAACAAAATAAAGAGTCGCAATCATAGGTTCATCAATAATTCTGTCGGCGGCATTGCTCTAAAAAAATCACGCACACACACACTCAAACACATATACTGTATTTTTAAACCAAAAATAGGTTTGTTTAATTTTGTCGTTTGATGAAATAGATACAACCAGAAAAAGGTACAACAGGTTGTCGACGTCGTTTGGGGGAAGTAGATAAGCAGGCAGCGCAAACACAGCACACCATCGTTAAATAAATTAAATCAAGTTTTTGTTTGGTTTGCTCTGTTCATTTGCTACGTGAATGCATGCATGCCCGACGACAGCCGCCACTCACTTTACTACTGGCCGCCTCACAACACTCTGCCATTTTTATTCCTCTCTCTCTCTGTCATCACACGCACACAACACATGTCATCTGTCATTATTTATGCAGCTAATATGTGACTAGGCAGTGA